TAAGGTATTTGTGTAAACGCACAGAAAATATGGGTAGCTGTGTCAATTGACTCTACAATTTCCCTACAACGCAAGATAAGATAGCCATTTTAGGAATCACTTTGCTGAGATATCTTAGCCAACTAATTGATAATGACGTCTAGGTGGGTTCGTTTAGGAAACAGGAAACTTGAAATACATTAATTCTGTAATTTCACGAGTGGTGTCTTTTCACTGTTTACATGACGAGCAAATGGTAAAACTCGGAACATCGATCAGATGAATAATACCACGATATTCTCCTCAATTATTACTCTTTTGTTTAACCTTCTGGCCTCTTTCATCCGAAGCAGAGTGAATTGGTTTCAATGATACTCCCAGTCACCACTCTCAATGAGGTACAATAAACAACGAAGATCGAGCACATCCAGCTTTAGTTCCATCTGTTCAGAGGCAACCGTGAAACCAAGAATTGTAGTGTACAACATAATATACTCTATCAGCTGTCCCTTGACAGTGATTCTCGGACCCGAAAAATTTCGCACTAGGATCTTGTTTTTCCGATGGAGAGCAACTGGAGAAAAGTTGCCCCGCAGTTGTGGTTGACGTACTGTGTTAATTGAATGACTGCAAATCGGAGTACTACAATATCCACTTTCACGTCACCACAATATAGCGCGTTACTTTTTTGAACAAAGAAGTTTCCCTGAATGAGCCACTGCACGTGTTATCACGTGTCTGTATCACAGTTCACTGTGTTCACGTCGAAAATTAAACGGATCGTTAAAGCGGTCACGTGACCTGCAGACGTTCTACATAACACTGTCCTCTTCCCTCTGCAGTGGACAAAGAACCAAGCGATATGTCAGTAACCAGTTGATCCATCTCCTGGTCAGCATGGACTATGGCTGCTTTGGCGGATAATATTGACAGATTGCGTGTGTTTGGTTACGGATCACTGATTTGGAAGCCGAATTTCGTCTATTCCAAACGATCGGTCGGCTATATTGAGGGATATGTGCGTCGATTCTTCCAGGGCGATATCTTCCAACGAGGAACGCTGGAAAAAGTGAGTACACCGTTATTCTGTGGGCTGAAACGGGATAAAAATTTTTACATTCGCAGTAACTGGAAGAGAAATTCAGGCTTTCATTCCGACGTTCACACATAGTCTGAACACGAATTTGTATACCCGTGTGGAAATCTTGAATGTGTTGAAAGTAGATGCAGAAATGGTCGTTTGTTTCTATAAAGTCGAAAAACAGGTTTTTGTGGTACGCCGAAGTGCAGTGTTTTCAGTGAGCAGTGCGTAAATAGTGAGAGTATGTTCACTGTTTTTTTCTGCGAACCGAAACAGGAAGTAATGAATCATTTAGTCTGCCTTCAGTTTGATTCAAATGAATAACTGTCGCTACTGTTCTGACCGAATTTACTAGATCCATTTGACTCAGACAGTGAATGCATAGGCAAGCGAAATTTTTAGGCTTTTCCTGAATTGAGAAACGGTTGAGTCCACATCACAGTGGGGAGGCAATGGACCCAAAAAACGATAACAGTCGACTTATCAACGGATAGATCCCTCAGGGCAATGGAGCTGTGTGAGCAGTTGATAATCAGTGATAAAAATCGGCTCGTTATTAGCAGTCCCACACAAGGTATACGGAGCTATTATTGATCAGGATATTTCGCGCAGCGAAATCCACTCCATTCGTTATTTGAATGCATTTTATTCACCAGTGAGTTTAACCACTACCAAAAGTAAAAATAGTCCTTAGGCTGTAACACACGTAGGCACCTAGCTGCCGTGCCACCCGCAGGAAGCAACCGGACTGAGACATAAGCAACGAAACGAGAAAAGCCCTTCGCCGAGTTGTTTATTAGAAAACAGTTACAGACTACGTGGCAGAAAAATAAAACTCTCATATGCACGCAGTTGTAAACGGATACTGCAAAGCAGTTCCACAAATTCCGTAATAAATCCTACCTTCCATTGGATCAAGGCAGAGTTACTAGAAAACCACATACTACTCGCATGCCCCATCAGTAGTGTCTACCGGTTGCCCATGCTTAGAAAGGAGCGATGGAAACGCTAAGTTTGGGTCAGAACAGCAAAACGTCCGGTCAGTAAGTTCGTAACTTAACCATTGATCTACCCCGGTCACCATGAGAATTCCATGAATTCGGTATGCTGTCAAGTATTGACCAAGCCTCAGAGATTTCGTCAAATCCCTGCTGAATAAAATTTCGTTAAGTGACTTTGTGGACGAAAATCACTCCACGGTTTCCAGAGCCTGAATTTCACTTTAACACCTAAATGGTTGTGCAAACTAGGTAGTAGGTCTCCCGTGGATGCTTTTTTGGATTGACGATGGTCCGAAAGATTTTGACCCACCGCCCTCACAAGAACACCCCCCACTAACAGCCCACCTTATTGTGTGGAGACAAGGTAGTATATTCAAAACCAGCATGCTCACTGAGGAAATTCGGTTTGATGAAAACTCTTCCGGTTCATTTCTTCTCAAAGAATTCGGCCAACAAACTTCCAATGACTTAGCATAATTCCAATCAATGCCGAGGAAGACAGCTGCAAAAACACTGGTTAATTTTACCCAAGTTCGTTCCTTGCGTATGTTTCTTCTTGTAATGCAAAGCATTATCTAAAAGTATGGTGAGCCAAGGTTTTCCATTTCAATTGAGTCATCTTGTCTATTCAGTGAGTCCTAGTGAGTTAGACACTCTCCACTTTGGGCAGTGTTCTATGAGCCGAGAGGGCATCTGAATGATAAGAAGAACAGCATGCCTTTTTATCAAACTCCATCATCTGGTCAAAATATCTTCCAACACATAAGCTTCTGTACCCTCTGAATGAAAGACACTACAGAAAAGATTTTTTTTCGTATGCATACCGTCAAACAAATGGTATGTTTTTTTGGGTATGTATGTTTTGGGGGTGAGCGGTGACCACAATACGGCATGTATTCCTGGGGAATAGAACTTAGTTTGTGTGCTGGAGGTAGTTTTTCATGATGCAGTATTCTAAATGAACCAAACACGCGAGTCACATTGAAATGTCCATCAGGCGAGTTTCAATAATCACTGAGGTGCCACGTGCCTCTGAATTCTAAGGTTTTGATTAATGGGAGAAATAATCCTACAGGGTTGAGCGCCAAAATCCTCGGAAGATACGAAAAAACCTATTGAATATAATTTTATACCAGTTTACTACAGCTTGTTGGATAATTCCAGTGTAATATGCTCAGATTTTTTATGTAAAAACACGCCACTTCAAACCGTGAGGTCAAGTTCGATCTCAGTGTTGGCACCACAAGTGAACGCTTCATGGTTGTGTTATGCATGAAAACAGTTGTAAAACTCTGCCGTAGCAGTACCGAAAACTGCTTCGATTTTTAACTGCACGTTGGGAATTCAACTTTAGTTACCGGAACGTACCTGAGGACACATAATTAGTTCAGGCAATAAACGCGATGCCGCGATTTCTGCCCGTGACAGTCTTCCTGCTAATAGGATGCTCTTGGATATGAAATCTTATGGATTTCCTGCGGTCTAGGTACAAATATTGTTACTGTGTTTTAACATACAGAAAAACACCCCACCTTGCTTCGACCAGCAGGTTGGTGATATTCTTAACAGTGCGGAAGAATCTTTGGGACGATCCAGAGAATATTCCTGAAATTGCAACTTACTCGCTTCACCTACTCACTTCACTCAAAAAGTATGAGCATCTCGGTCTGTGGTAATACTGCACGTTTGTTGCTTATTGTCACAGCGTCATACATAGATTAAATCAAATAAAGTAAAAACGAAATAGAATTCTTCACAAAGATACTGTGTCTCTCAAACCTCACAAAAACTTATGGTCTGGTCAATCCGCAACTGGTTTCACTGAGGGTTCCACAGCACGTCAGGGATTTGGCTGACACATTTGGCCATCGTCTGAGAAATCCCACCTTGAAAGCGCTCCTGGTGGGGACCAATGACTTCGAGCCTCATCACTACCTCATTCGGTTGGAGACCAGATAAAATTTCTGTGCAGTCCAACTTCTATTTACAATCCGCCTTGGGAATTCTAGCAATAGGCGTATCGCCATTGAACTGCAGCGGAAACCAGCTAAGAGAAACGAATCATATGTTCCCAGGGAGTAGGTTAACTAATGGGTCCAAATTTACACATGTTTTCAGTCATATATAGTATATCCCACGTGACAACAATGTTTATTCAGTTCGATAGAGCTCCCCCACCGTTTTGCGAAGATCAGCTTCGGATAAGGATCGGTTCCTCACCAAAATGATATGCGAGACCGACGAATATTTGATCGAATGGAACGTAACGCAGCGAAACCAATCATCTACAGAGCAAAGCTAGTGAATATTTGTCCAAAATGAGAATGCCCCCAGAGCTATGGGTCTTACCCGTGTTTTAGCGTGTTTCACAGGCCATCACATCGCTGTGACGGTGAGACACAAACAAAGCAACAACCTAGTTTTTCTCGCGCAGGGGGTGCACTGACCACACCAGTAAAGTCTATAAAAAAGGCGTCAGTAATCTTCACAGCTTTCCTTAAACTCAAAGAAACTTTGTAAATAACTTACCCCTTGTTCAGTGAGGAATCCTCTTGATGTGTTAGGTATACTGCAGGCTTTTTATTTTCACACTTTTGTGTGTGTGAAAACATAACGAAATGTCCAAACGTCTCCAACCTTCTTCCTCCACAACAACTCCATGGAATGCACACTACAATAAATTATCACTTTTTGAAGTTAAATCACCCCAAGCGAAAAACTACCTCACTCTGACTATGCGGATGTTTTCTTTTTATCAGTCTGTTATCACCCCGCAATATCCACTCGAACTAAGTCAAAATAAGTAGTGTTTTGGTATGCGATTAGCTTCTTGGAACTGTAAAGTCTTACTCCGGGAGCATCATGCTCCTTGCATCTATCTAAAAATGCAGCCTCAGGTGGTTGATTTTGTCGATCAGTACACATTTCTTAGCAGATTTACAGGTCCTCGCTCTGTGACGAATGCCGAATCGTCACGGAGCGTTAAAAAGCTGCTGTTACATTACTTACGACGTCACCAACAAAATTGACTGAAGTGAAAGAAAAATTTGGTTTTCAAACCTCGTCCTCCTTATTAAAAGGCAGCATTGCAGCGGTTTGTCTCCAAAGTATTGGGTAGGCGGGTAATTCATAATAATTCATGGTCATTGGAAAAGCAGGTAGAGGTTGTAAAATTGCGCTGATTGGGATATATGCCAAGCACGCCAAGCTGCCGTCTACAGAAGGAGGTGATGGTTTTCATCCAAGACCCAAGGAAGATCCTCCTAATGAACATTGTGAGGCGGTGAGGCAAAATGAGAGTGGCTGCAACGCAGCTTAGTGTTTTGGACTCTTCGTATCTATGACTCAACTAAGTCTCTCTGATTTTGGTTGGAAATCATCCAGGATATCCCACTTGCAAGCATATGCTAGGACTACCCAGCTAAAATGATGTCTTCTGTACTCATATCTTGTCATGCTCGGAGAGAAGTTTTCTAGTTCGACAGCCTGTTTTTGGAGTTTGCGATGCTTGAGAATGCAAGACTGTATGTGCAGTAGGTATTACATCCAGTCAGAGTAGCAAAATTTTTCTATTTTAGCCCGGACGTGTTGCGACGTTAGTTTCCACCAAAGAAGCCAACGCGCGCGTTTGGGGCTGCGTTTATGAGGTAGTCGGTGCCGAAAACATCAGGCTTGCATTGGATCATCTGATCGAGCGAGAAGTGGTCAACGGTGGGTACTGCTTCGACCGCACATATTTTCATCCCGGACTCCCGGACTCCAGACGGACTAGTATATCATCTTCGGACTCGGATTATAACATTATTCCTTCTAATGGTAATGAAGCGTACGAAGTGTTGTTTCACCTCAGCGATCCTGATGTGGCAATGTATTCGGGCGATGCCACGCTTGATGATCAGGTTAGTACTTTTCGACCGAAGCACCAATTCATTTTCTTTTCTTTGAATTTGCTTTTTCTTTTGGAAATGAAGTGAACATCGAACACCAGCTATGGATACATGAAGCTGATGCCAGTAGCTTATTGTGGCCAATTAAAAGTTCACTGACGTTCCTGAATTCACTTGTCAGTTATATCAGCTACTGCTACTCGGTATAGATAACCATTGCCATCACCCCAGAAAATTGATGATATAAAATGTGGCGGATATAACCACCGTACAAAATGCACACACTTATATATATGTATATATATATATATATATATATATATATATAAAGGCCACAATATTTCAAGGAGTTAAGATGTTTTTGATGCGGCCGCCTTCCAGGACAGGGTCCTCATGACACCCTCCTGCCCTTAGCAGGAGAAACTTCAAGAAATATCACTTAACCGGCGGCAGTGGTATTCGTGCTGTCAGTCTATTTCAAGATTGTGTAATTGGCGCTCGAAGGTATAGACACAGATTGCTTGCGATGGGGAAGATTATTGATTATCGCGTTTTTATCAGTACATGCGCATCTGTTCACACGTGCTCACCGTGAACACCGTTTTATCAGGACGGCTGTGCTCATGTTGAATGATGACTTTGCAATGCGTTCTCTTATTGTCCTCGGTGCAAAGCTTAGTGAACGTTAACTATTTTCGGTTCGATTTGTCTGTAAGAGTTCAATACTTCTACCTGGTAAAGTTTAATTGTGAACAATCACAACGACAATGGACAAAAAGCAACTGGCGTTTCATGGTCGCACCAAAGCAGACGGTCAAATCACGGGATAAGGAGTGCCGTTGGAGACCCGTGGGCTGAATGCAAAGTTCTACGTACGGATTAACCACCATGTGAATAAAACCTACAATTTAAGTATGGCCTGAAACCAAACTAGAATGTCACTTAATTTGCCAGATCGTATATAACTGGTCGAGTTAGACTGATATTTTGCTTACCAGAACGGTGGATTTCACGAGACACGCCTAGTTTTGTCCGGAATTCCTGCGAGATGTCTCGCCTCTTGAGCATTGAGCAGGGTCCGCTTGGTATTGTGAACATTTTGTTCTGTTTAACCTTAAGAACGTGGCTATGGCGTCTACCGTATAGTTGTGATGCGTGACGATTGCAATGTCCTGAACTTGCTGGAAATTCTAAACTCCCTTCACACTACCAACTACGTATGAGTAGGTTAGAGGAAAAATAATTAACGTGATGCGTGAGCTCTCCAAACAAGTCGCCACTCGAGCGGCCAGTCGTCACGTAATGTGGATGCACTGGTTGACGGATGAGTAACGCTATATCCTGTCCAACTAGCATAATATCACACCGCCTATCGGTCACCCTGACAGAAAGGTTAGGTGTTCAGACTAGCCGTGAGGTCACGGGTTTCACGAGACATGCAGTGCTGCTGATTCCCAGTAGGGAAGAAGCAGATGTACAGTATTTTAATCTTTTCAGCATAAAATTGTTTAGCTTACAGGACAAAATTATCATTGGAAATGAACTAACAAACTTCACCTCTGTCTGTGATAGTTGGATATCTTTCATGAGACACGTATCGTCTTGTTCACTGCTGAAAGAAACCCTAAGACGATCTCAAATTTCGACGTGTAAGTAATTTGCGCTCAAAATCATATGTACGGATGCCTTGGCCAAGGAAAGTTGGTAAGCACAGTAGATGCTTGACACAGGGAAGTTTGAGATGCAATGGTTTATCCAGGAACAAGTGGCAAAACTTGGGACCATGATCTCCATCAAGATGATCCCAAAATACTTAGAGTGAAAGCGGTGATCAAACTTATGATCCAGAAAAATGGGTTTAACGTGACCTTAAAACGTCAAGTTGCCATCCGCAGTGAATATGGGGTCGCGACGGTAAGCAAACTGTCGAAGGCGACCACTGAGGAAATTATCTGCTCTTCTAGTTTGGACGAAGTGCATCGCCTTCTGCTACGTCATGTCCGTCCGCTTATGAACCTCACAAACGATCTGTGAGATCATCCAACTGGCTTGATGTTTTCAGGGGACAGTTTGTTGTTGGTGATGCATGGTAATCAATCTGTCCCATTGAAGCCGTCGGTATATCAACGTTGAATATTAGTCATAGTTGACTGAGATAAATTTGTGTCTATAACTGCCTTTTCGAACAGTACTCGAAACTATCTGCTTTAGGACCAAAGTGGATGTCAAGGGCTTGTAGCCAACTGACAGAGTAAAACAATGGTCATTAAACAGCTTACAGAAACTATAGAAATCAGGAATAAAAGCTAATGCCTCATTCTCAGTCTGTACAAATTCTGTGGGTAGGTGATCCGGTGACTAACCCAACTGCTGTCAAAAGAACCGGCCCTCTCAGAAGACTGGTTTGGACACCATCATTCTGGACACGTCAGGGAACTAAGTGGATTCGGATTTTGAGAAAACTGGTGATGATCTGAGTGTGATTTGATTATATCGCCACTTATAGAATTTCAGTCAACTGCTAAAGCATTTCGGGAACCATCTTGATACTGAAAGGAAACCACATGTACGGGAGAAGGCTTGGATGCACTTTTATAGATAGATTTGTCAAGACTGCGCCGTACATCCGATCTGTGGGAACGCGTTGGCCAAACGAAGGCCGTAGAAAATGGTATCACCACTCGGAATGACGAATGCACTATCAAGAGGACAGAAGCGCCTCTCGACAACCTCGATGGAGCAAGTTGTAAAAGCGTCACATGTGCGGATCAATACTCTGGGCGACTCTGGCAGGGGAAAAAACAGAGGGCAAGACACTTTATTGCTTAAAATTTTGAAACTCACTGTCAATTTGTGGCAGTGAAACGCAAGGAGTCGAGAACTCTGCAATCAAGACGAGCAAGGCATATGTCAGAATTTCTTGAACGGCCTGAGTGCTTGAACGCAAGGCGAAGTCAGCCTGGAAGACCACAGCATATCACCTGATGGTGCCATCTGGTTGAGCTGGATGTTGTGTGGGAGAATGTGCTGCATTGCAGACCGCGACATAAATCAAATACACTGACACAAACGTTGCAATTTTGAAAATGTTTGAGATAATAGGAGCCATGTATGCAAACCAGTGTGTCATTACTTGGGAGGTCTTACAAAGTTAAAGATCACTGGTAAACTGAAGCTCGCCTCCTCAGGTACTGGCAGTACTTCGACAAACCTATTCAACAGACATTCGTCCAGCTGTAATCGAAAGTTTATCCGAGACGGTAATGTTTGTTAATGTCCGGCTGCAGCGAGACCAGTTGACAACAAGCACAAAGTAATTCCGGTGACCAAAAAGTCGATATGGAGGATTATCAGTAGGCTCATGGCGAACCCAGTGCTCCAACTTACTTTGAGCCCCAAGCTGAGCGAATATTTGTGTTATATTGAGTTACTTTTCTAAGCGGTACTCGTGATTTGTTTGAACTAACTGTAGGCCAGCCCCAAAGACCAGCCCGTCAAATCGGTGAATGCAGAAGATAATCAGCAGACATGAACTGGGAAGATAAACCCACTTCATGTCGTACCACCAGTCTAACATCTAGTTCAGGAAAAGAACATAGAGATGAAACCTTTATGGCAAAGCCATCAATGTGCTAACCGAAGGCGAGTTACTGGCGCGCCATTATCAATATCATATTTCTCGGATGACGGTGGAAGATGAAATTGACTAGTACGTGCAAAATGTTAACAGGTAGCAAGCGATGCCTTTCTGGAAATTCTGTAGGGTGAACAGAAAGGGGCACCAGTATTCATAAATTCAGACTTGGGAAAAATGCATCGTAGAGTAATACTTGCTAATGGAAGTTACCTACTTACGTCATTCAGGAAATGGAACTCAGTTAATCTGTTCAGGAAGAACCAAACGTTTTTTCACCTTCCGGAAAGCTCCTTCCATATTATAAAATAATGAAAGAAATAATAATGAGAAATAGTGGTAAAAACGGCCTAAAATAGATTGTCAGGCACCGGTACGAAACGCCTTATTCGACTGGCGGGTTAATGTGAATCAGTCAGACCTAAATGAACAGTTTCGAGGCGATAACACCAACATTTTTGTGACATTACATATGCTTTAAGACAAACATTGCTGAATCAACCAGGTTCAACTGATCGTAGATTGGATTCGCGTCTACTGCATGTTCGATTTTGTCTTTCAGTAGTGTGATTGTTCTTTCTGTCAGAAGCTTCAGATCAGAGTACTCGAGGAGTTTGTAAATGGTTTTCACCGCACAATTTTACCACATTACTCTAGTTCAATCCAGTACACACATTATTGAGATGGAGCAAACGATTAGTCGCTTAGCGTGCGGAGGTAAACCATCGAGAAAATCAAGGAGCGTCTTGGGGAAGCTATAATTTCTGTTAGTCTATGAGTCAGTTGCAGCATCAAATTGTTTCAGCTTTTGTCAAAAAGGACAGCTCAAATATAACGGCTGCATGCGTACTGTGTTTTGACCACCTTGTTTGGAGTGGAACCCTAACTCGAAGACTGGGAACGCCTAACTTCGTCTGCTTGCCAGAAACTTCGTCTCACATACTTTTTTGCCACTACCTTGAATGTTTCCTTTGGAATAAAGTGTATTTACAGTGCATTGCCACGATTACCGAGGTTGAAGTATTACCAAGACTATTGTGCATTGTTTCTGTAATGCTAAGAAGATCAAACCTATTCACGACCATGCCACGGAACAAAAAGCTTCAGAATACTAGATCACTTCGGATCTCTCTGTACAAGAACACGTAACTTTAAGCCTACGCAAGATTTCGTTTACAGTGAACACTCTGGAACCGTCTGGGGCTTCACCTATCTTTAACAAGGTTCAATCAACGGACGAATACAGCAATCAGCACACAGCTGAGATGCTATGAGACTATCTGTGGTCTGTGACCAGCAACGTACGAAGACCAAGTCAAAGATAGACCAAGCAGTTGACCTCCAAATTAATGCCACCATTATTATCGCCGATCACCGCGTTGTACTTACCCAACTCTGTGCCAGACAGTCGGGTAGATTTGCTGGAGGAAGATGCAGCTGAAAAAAAGGGATTGAATTTTCGACACGAGACGCACCATGATATCCTCATGCAAAATGCAGGATGTAATGAGAGTGATTCCACGCCTTCATTTGATGGACTGATGAACCTTGAACATTTTTTCGATTCGTCCCCTTGTGAGCCAATTTGTGAACAGCCTGTATCCCCCTGTTATGTTTAGTTTGTTCAATCTTGTAAGAAAACTAAATTTCCATACATCATGGGAGCAAAATACTGCGACAAGAGGGTCGAACAACCTCAGTCAAGGCAGGTCCTCTGCAGCAAAATCATTTATTTATTATAATTAATTATTACTATTTATTAGGAAATGCCAACTGACCGGTTACAGACCATTGAACAGGGAAGCAAAACCCTAATTTGCATCTTGCTTACAAAAACTGGACACCCATCTTCTCCCGAACGCATTTTCTTGAACTGTCCTGGAGATTCATTGACTCCAATCATTCCTTGCTCAAATCCAAGCAAATGTTACAAAGTGACTCCACGAATTCTGCAACAGATCTCCCCTTTTCAAAAGACGCAAAGAGAAATTCCACGAACAACATATACTACTCGCGTGCCTCCCATCAGTAGCATCACCGTTACACTGGTGGTTCATATGGATTAAGGTTTGTTACATGGGAAAGTTGTCCAACGACGAGTTCTTTCCCTAACACGCTTTAATTTCCCAGCAACGGCGTCTGCGGTTGCTCGGCCCTCCAAACAAACAACAAACATGCCAGGATGAGGTGGCTTGGGTGTGGGTTATGGGACTTACAAAGGGGTCACAGCTTGCTCAAATATGGTCTCCGACCGTCAAATGTGGTACGAATCTGTACGAGACATTTCTGAAGTGCAACTGTCCTTGTACTTAAGTTCATTATATCTGCGAGAAATCGCGATTTAGTACTGACTCCATTTAGAGGATCCGTAGACCACACTTGAGCTAAGCTGTCCTCTGTTGTCTTTGGCGTAGGTGCGTTTTCATTCGGTCTTCAGAACTACGACGTCTTTGTTATCGTTTAGTGCTGGAGGTTCTATCACCGGATAAGCGGCTTTTATCGGCGACAACACTCAATCTATCCTTAGTATTTAGGTGTTTCTCATATAGCCGTGCAGAAGATTTCACAGATGAATCCCAACCAGACAGTCGAATCTCTTTATATCAGTATGCTTCACCATGGAGAGACGGTACACAGGCGAGGCAGAATCTGTAATCTGGATAACCTCAACAAAAAAGTGCCTCATTTGTGAAAATAGGTGTGCGCAAACTGAGTGTGGTGTTACCCCGGCCGAAACACCAAATCTGGGACCAGGCAAACCAGAACGAACACGAGTCCCGGTGAAACCGATCGGTAAAACTAAATGAACGTGTAATACATGATACACACTCTACCTGCAAATGGAACATACTAAGCAATTCACCAACCCTCTCAGTCTTATGCTTGCCATTCACTGACTTACAGTTACACACTTGACCGTGTGAATGAAGCACACGAAAATAAGAATCAGGCATTGTATTTAGGATCAATGGTCGCCCACATAGACAAACAGGCAGACGCGCGTAGACAGCAGAATGGAAAGCAGCTACGAGTTTAAGAGTTTATCAAAATTACCAGAGCAGTCATTCGACAGAAGAGACACCGTTGCTGTCGTGTTTAGATGATGGGACTGCTTGATTAACTTCAGTATCCTTTTTATTCGAGTGTCAATTTTTTGGTCAAACTGGACTGAAACTCTGTGGATTTATTAAACTCGATAACCTACACTACACACTAGCGGCTCCGAGTGCGCATTCAGTAATAAAAATGCCGTTGATAGGACATATGAACGAGAACACTTTACAACGGTCCAAGAGTGGATTATTTATTGTTTTTATAGCCTGCAGGAAATAATCCAGTTTAACTCTCTACCCATTAAACTACAGGCCACTCAAATCACATCTGCCTTCGGAGTTTCTGGAGCCAACAGCGAATATGTATTATTGATAGCCGCTTTCATGCACTATGAGGTCCCCAAAGAACAGGCTTTGAAAGATGATCCATACATATTTCAACTGGAAGCCAAGGTTCGTGAAAAGCTAGCTCTTCCCCCGATCCATTTGAAACCATCAGAAGCCAGAAAAACTGAGGATGAATTTACGGCAAGTGATTTAATACAACCAGACGATCTGCAGATTAATGAGCGCCGCCGTTCTTCGGCCAGGGAATTTGCCGAATGTCTATTGCGGCGAAGTAAATAAAACAAAGACCACAACTTAAAATTTCCCTCTTATTTTGAAAAAATTCACTCACTCCATTTCTCTTATTCAGGTAAGATTTGACGATGAATTCGTTTTGTTAATTTGTAGAGAAATTGTTTTTTCACAAAGTGCATCGTGACTTACATGCTGAGTTTTCCCTCCTCTTTCATCAAGCACCATCTAACTCTCAGCTCCCTATTCACCATACAAGTTATTTAACGGCTGCTATTACCAGTGGGAGGAGTGAGAGTTCAACCACAATTCGGACTGATCTTATCAATGCGTTCGGCCATCCCGATAAAACTTTCGTGACTTACGAGTCTGTGGATATTCGTCAAGAGGATTTTTTGTGATTCCCTATATAAAATAGTGCAGGAAAATGCGGATATGTGAGGCAGATGAATTTCAGCTGTATTTTCCGGCAACTGTGCTGACGGGTACTTTACTCGCTCCAGTATAGAAATGAACGCAAACGATTTGACAGAAATAAAGTCCTACGAGTTAGTCGTTGGTCGGTAAGGAATACATGTATCGCATTCAGTGTCTTAACTACATCGATTTACCATGTAGAAATGAACCGGAAATACCGGTGTTTTCGCCAAGGGCACGTAGGATCAAACTAGGTATTTTCGCCATTTACTCTCACATTGTAACTTGCTTGACTATTAGCTGGCATTGTTGTGAATGACCGTGATTATTTCAACCGATAAAATCTTCGTTCCCCTGTGTCGAGTAAGGACTGTGTATTTATTTGCCTATGGACTATTAAAGATCTCAAAACTCAGAGTATGGTGCATATTTTAGGCTTCAGGCGTTAAATGAGCGCATCTCTGCCCAAGAATGTGTGATTGAAACAAAGCTGAGGCGAAACCTCGGAGCTAAGAACTTTCTGAACAGATGCAAAAACGGGATCGCAGATACCAGTCACCAGGCAGCTGACAATTGATAAAAAACAAGTCCTGAAGTTACGATTCGACACCACCATTTTGAGGCATCAGCAATCTTAACGCGTTGGCATAAACAAGTGACAGATATTTGATGTGATGGCCTACAGATGGAAGCAGAGTGTATCTACTAAGCACCGACTGATGAAAAAAAAGCATGAAGCCCAATTTTCCAGATCAATGAACAGAACAATACTCAGCTATGCAACCCGAGCTGCGAATATTATCCTGAGAAGCGAACGAGGGTTCAACTACCCGAAGATGGCCCACCCTGACAAAAACATAGAGGTTGAAGCTGCCACAATTTTGTCCACCGATGATTTGGGGAGGTGGGGTAGGTAGCTGCGTATCGGAGGCGAGAGCTGGTGAACTGGTGCGTAAATACAGGTCTGTAAGTGGAACTTTGAGTGCATCGAAGTGATAGGCAATTCTGCAGTGCCAAAAACCCGTTCAACCCTAGGAATAGGGCTAACCAAACACAACTGGCTTGAATGCCTATAGCTTTTGTAACTAAAGATCTGAGCAGTTGAAGATCTATGGCTTCTTCCACTCTTTGTGACATCCACTTTTATGTCATCAAGGAAAGTCACACCGGCCTAGATCACATGTGACAACCAAATACTTGAAATTTGGAGCCAGGCTACTTCGCAGTTTTCGTCACGACAGCTTGAGTACTTCAAAGTGGAAGTTTGAGCAGCAGAAACTAGACATTAAACGATTAAAGCTTTGATATGTAACAGCAACAGTCTAATTGTTTTGGTACTTTCTTCGGTGCCTACTAGGCAGCTGAAGGAAGGAATGAACCCCGATTGACAACCTAAGAATAAGGTTGTGAAATTATTTACCAACCTGGAGTTCGCCGGATTGTGTAACGTTAGCAAGGCCCCTAGGACCGAGCAGGATCTGGACAGACAGCATAACCCAATACCTGTAACTGGAATGAATAAGTTATCTGTTTCCAACTTAAAAGCACCAAGGAACATTCCGAAACTGATAGTTACAGCTACAGGTCTAATGTCGTGAATATCTTGAACTCCGAACACAGTGGCGTAAATACCTGATTTCGTCCATATCCTTCGCATATTCACCCGCTTAGCTAGGACCGACAATATTGCATGGAGACGGATTGGATATCACGGTACTTACAACCTTATTAGAATTGCGACAAAATCTAGTTCCGATACGAGGTTAAGACCAACTAGACCGATCGGTTCTAGCATCACCGTGATTTTGTTTTCATAAAGTTTTTGTGCGAAGTGCGCCAAAAAATCACACCTTAAGAACTACCGGCTGGTGACCTGGCCGAATAAAACCTTGGTTACTCGCAACAACTTAGCTATCTAAAGACCCGCGCGCCAAAAAGCCAACCACATAATGATAGCACGTGTAAAAAAATGTAAAACAGTCGTTCCAAGTCTCAGTACCATAGAGCTAATTGAACTGAAAAGAATAGTTCAAAGCTACTATGTGGCGCTTGCAATGATCTCAGTAACCACTGGCCTGTTTTTTCTTGTAAGTCGTAAAACAAAGCTAATGAAAACTCCAATGTTTGTCTTATAAATAAAGAGTCATGTACCTGACACTTTCAGCCACGAGATTCAAAGGAAGCGCTGGAGATGAGATCGTGCCAAGTAAACCGAATCCAAATAAGCACAGTCGAAGCGTCTGTAGGACGTTTGAACCGTCAACTGTATAGTCACGACCTCAACTTTGAGGGATCTTGACAAGATCTTAGTGGAGGCACATCTGATATTCACGGTAGCAACGACCCTGGTCTGCATAATAGGAACTAGCATATCGTGCAATCGATCCTGAACAGACAACTTGGCCTTAAAGATTGACCTTCCCTGCTCAAAAAGATTTTCACAAGGGACGAAATCCAAGTTTTGTTCGATTGTAAAGTGGCTTAGATGTATTTTCAACGGATGGATTCGGAAAGCGAAAGTTCACAGGGAATTGAAATGGAGAAGATGAGGGATCGAAAATCGTCCGTATACACAAATGCTCAACAAGCGCGGTCAGCCATATTTATTTCATGAACTGGCTTTCAAGCTCCGTTAGAATCTTCGCAGACTGCTTCGCGTTGAGGAAGAGGTCACATACTTCATCTATGTCTTGAGGTTCCAGATCTTCTCGTCCAGCAAGCTGTGCGAGTCGTGAGGCCGGAGTCAACAGTTGAACAGCGTATCTGCATGTGAAACAAAATACATAAATTGTGCTTAAAAGTCAGAACACTGTGGTGAAATCAGGGAGCAGGCAAGACTATCACAGAGTAGTGTCTTGAGTAACAGAAACAGCACTGCGCCGGGAAAAATCGGCAATGGCAGCTCTGTGAAGCTTCTGCAAACGGGGGTTCGGAGTTGAAAATAGGGCTTTCTTTAGTAGAC